CTCTGCATGTGAGGGTGAGTACGGGTAGGACAGGGGTCTCTGAGGTCTCCTCCAGCCCTAAGATCTGGTCTTAGCTCAGACTTCTCCATCTTTGCAGCTCACTTACTGCTCTATCCTATTTAGCTCATGACCTTCACCTCATAGTCCAAGATGGCTGCTTGAGAGCCAGCCATCACAAGCACATTTCAACCAATTGGAAGGAGGAAAGACTAAAGAAAACACCTCTCTTTTAAAGAACACCTCTTTGGAAGTTATGCTCAACATTTCTTTTTCCATCTTATTGGCTAATACTTCGACTCAGGGCTGCATCTAACTTCAAGGGAGGCTGTGGAATGTGCAATACTAGGTTGGAGACAATGTATTTCACACAGTTCGGTGATGCCATCACAGCTCCTCACAGCAGCTTCAACACAGCCTTACAATGTTTTCCTTTTGCTTACTAAAGATAGATAGATAGAGAGAGAGAGAGATAGAGAGATAATAGATAGTTTTTACTAGTGCAAATCTCCCTTCATTTCCCCAAACTCATCCCTCCCCTGAGTGTATCACTGTGAACAGTTTTCTGTGTGTCTTCTAGATTCATTTTTTTATGTATTTACACACACACACACACACACGTATACCTAGTTTAAAGGAACATAGGTGTGTATTATTCTGCAACTTGCATTCTTGGTTATTGTTACATGGCATTATGTCTTGGAGGTTCTGCCGTGCCAGTCCACAAGGAGGTACCTCATTCTTTGTGACAACTGAATAGTGCCTTACCATATAGACTTATCAAAGCTTATTGATGGATATCAGGCTTGTCAAATTTTTACATTACTAACAGCCTTGGGTATCTTCTCTGCATATATATGCAAGTGGTACTTGAGGATAGATTCCTAAAAATGGGCCAAAGTTTAATTCGCTCCTAGTGTCGTGGGTTTAACTCTTTGAAAATCCTTCTTCTCCATGGGGAAAATTGCAGTCAGCTCAGAGGCCCCTTCCATCTTGGCTTGGACTGCGCCCTCTCCCTTCCTCCCTCCCTCCCACTAAGCAAACACAGCCCTGGCCCCATCCTCACGGTGCCCTCTGTTCTGGGGTCTTTACCATCACTGGAAGCCAATCTCACATCTTAATGCTGCCCGGCGGCCCCACCCTTTTGTTGACTGTACGCCCTTTCTCCTTTGAGGAGGAAGAAGACACCTCCCCTGGTATCCTTCTCTTGGGAATTTAGGGCCCTTCTTCTGGTCCCCACCTTTATCCCTTCCCTCCCTGACTACCACAGCACCATGTTTTAGCACCTTCTGAGCCCTTTTCTCCTCATTTACCCCCCCGCCCCAGGGCACCCCTGCTAGGAGGGGGAGGGAAGAGCGTGGTGAATCTGAGCTAATCGCCTCCCCTTCCAAGTTCTGGGATGGTGATCGGGGCGACTGTCCCTGCAGACCTGGGGGTTGTAGGAAGGTGCTTGGGGTGAGTAGCAGGCCCCAGAACCCCAGACTTCTTCTAGAGACAGACTGGGCTATGAGGAGTTGAAGAGAAAGCTCTCTGAGAGAGCTTTTTGGCCCTCCCCCTGGAATGGATCATACCTGAAATTTGAGCCCTGAAGCCCCATGAAAGTGTGACAACTTCCCCCCTTCCCATGGTCAGGGCCCTCAGCCCAGTTGGGCAGCAGCAGGGTGCTGATCGGGTTATTAAAAGCTTAGCTGGTGGTTCCCCTCCGGCTTGGTGCAATTCATCAGGCAATGGCTCCCCGGGAGTGATGGATGGTGACAAATGAAGGTAGGTAGGGGGTTCCTTAGCCCATCCTGGGCCACAGCTGGGGAAACTCAGCCATTAAAGCCCTGTGCAGGCTTCTCCACTGAGGTGACTCTGAGGGCCAAGGAGATCAAGTTTCGGGCAAACGGTTTGGGGGTTGGAGAGTCTCCGCCAAAGACAAGCCGCCCTGTGTGTTGTGTGGGGCCCCAGCTGGGCTGTGGCCCTGAGCTGGTGAGGTGGGGGTGGGGTGGGCTTCTCTGATGCTAGAATCACAGGCGGGAGGCCTGGGGGGCGGGAGGAGGGGCAGGGCCAGAGCTGGTGGGAAGGAGGGAGCTGCCTTTCTGGGAGGAGGGGATCAAACACCTTTTAAAGCAGGTGCTGGGGACTCTGCTCAGGGCCGAGTGCTGAGACGGCACAACCAGCCATCCCTCCGGGATCCCAGCCAGAGCTGGTGCTGGCGGCTCAGCGGAGGAGGCCCCAGGGGGCAGGGAGCACCTTGCCTGCCTGGAGGCACAGGACTCCCCAGGGTGACCACTAAGGAGAAGGAAGAGATACAGAAGGGAGAGGTCAAGAGAACGCCTGGTGGAGGTGGGGCTGGAGCCAAGCCTTGCGGGCCAGGTAGGATCGGGACAGGTGAGGGAGCAAGGAAGAGGCACGGCGGTGAGGGGGTACGACAGAGCACAAAGGTGCAGGGCAGCAAGGGGGCAGGAATGGTAGGGTTGAGCAATTCTGAGGGATGAGGTTGGAGACCTCGAGATTGCTGTACTCGGGGGACCCTGGGGAGCTAGTACGAGCTCCAAAACGCAGGAAGACATCAGAAGAGTTGTGTCTGAGTAGGGTCTGCTGGTAGGCAAGAGACTGATGGAGAGCCCTGTCCTGTGGTCAGCAGGGAACAAGGAGGGAGAGAACTCAGGGGATCTGCCCGGGAGTTGGTGTCCTCAGTGAGGAAGGAGGGCAGCACGAAGCCCACATCTCAAGACCAGACCGTGGTGGCACCATCCCAGGGAGGACGTGCTGGGAAGGGAGAATCCAGGCCTCTAATAGCTGGGGGCATCTTCATGGCCTTTTGGCCAGTCCTCCTCTGAAGGCATCTTGATGTTACCAGCCTATTCTTGATTGCCTCCTCTGATGGGGGGCTCACTGCTCTGTGAGACAAAGAAAGCTACCTTTGTCCTGAGCTGAAACCTGCCTCCTCTGAGTCAGTTCTAGCTGGCACTCCGGGAGGGGAAGAACACACTGCTCCCCTGGAACAGTTGGCTACCCTCCTTCTCCCCACCAGTGTCCACACTCATACCAGAGCAGTCTGGCTTACATCCCTCATGCTATGATGATGTTATTGGTGAGGGGGGCAGGAGAATTCTAAGAAAGGCATGTCTTAGATGCTTCTGATGCTCCCACATGGCAAGGGAGGTAGGAGGTAGAGAGCCATCCACACTTCCTGTCGTGAGCTTAGCAGCCAACAGCACTGCCTTCCGGCCACTGAATGGGGTCAGGCTGGGTCTGGAGCCAGGGTCAGGCGCCTGTGTGTGCCGGGGGCAGTTCGATATGTGTGTATGTGAGTGTGCTGTGTAGATGGGGGCGGACCCAGAGCTCACTGGTCCACGTGGGGTTGCACCTGCCTTGGCTGTGTATCCATGGGTTCACGGTGGGCTGGGCTGCACAGGCAGGCACGTGGGCCATCCCCCACTCCTGGACTGAGGCAACCCTTGGCCATTCTCTGCTGTGCTGCTGGGAATTGGGGTGTTGCTGAGGCTCTGGGTGTTACTGAGGTTTGGGTGCTGTAGAACTTTTGGGGGGTGCAGTTGGACTCAGAGAGCCAAAAGCTGGGATGGGAGGGTGGTGAGCAATGAGGGGTCTCTGGGCCTTCTGCAACCGCGTACCATGGTTTTGACCATCTTGCCCCTACCAGTGCTTGATTTGCCGGAGTTTGAGGGTCCTTGGAATGTGGGCCGAGGTTCTGAGGTGTTTTAGAGGTTCTGGTGTGTTACTGAAGTTCTGGGGGCTCGTGGCGGGTGATTCTGAAGTTCTGGGAGTTCTTGTGGTGTTACTAACATTCTGGGGACATTGCTGAGATCCTGGAGGTGCTCCGGAGGATCTGGGAGTCCTTGGGGGTGTCTCTGAGGTTCTTCCTCACGCCTTCAGGCCCACTGTCAGCTCCTTTTAAGCTGAGCACTTTACCCTTTGAGGATTTTGATAACCACAGGCTGCTGGAGGCACACACGTGGGCCTCTGTTCCTGGACGCCAAAATTCCTCAGATGTAATCAACTTGAACAAAAACATGGGGAGGAAGGAAGCCCTGACCCGAGGGCTTCGTGGTCCAGCTCCAGCCCAAGGGGAGCTCCGTGCCAGGCCCAGACGGCAGATGGCCTTCGTCTGCTCAGAGCCCAGAGGCTTTTTGCGACCCCCCAATCTGTGCTCAGCTAGGAGCCCTTCTGGCGTGGGCTGCTCCCTGGGTGCTGGTGTCAGCCTCATCTGAATGTGCCCGTGTGGGCTCACGAGGGCACAGCCAGACAGCCCTGAGCCCTGCCCTGCTCTCTCCTTGCCTCTCAGACTCCCCTTCTCAACTCTCCTATGACACTTACACCTCATTCTTGCTGCCATTGCTGACTCTGTCTGACCTCAGGGCCCTGCTCCAGGCCCCCTCCTCCAGGAAGCCTTCAAGACTGCTCAGTCCATCTCCTTATTCTTTCTCCTCTCTTCTCCCTTCTCCGAGTTTTTACTGTCTGTCTTCCAAGTAACTCCACCGGCCAGCTCCTCCTCTCCTGCAGGTCTCTGACTTTTTTGGATACGAGTCCCTCTATAACGGGTAGGCCCAACTCCAGAGGGTAGGCCCTGGACTCTGCCGCCAGGCCTTTGGAGAAATTCTTCAGGAGCACATCATTACCATCTTTCTCCTCTCAATACTTTTCCTTGCCAGCTTGCAGTCTGGCCAGGTGGCATCCTTCCTAACAGCTCAGAGGCAACCTTCCATTTCACAGATGTGAGCTCTCCTAGTTTCAAGCTGAGGAGGTACTTTGGGCTCAAGGAGTGGGGTCCCCTTCCCAGCCTGAGCTATGCAGCAGCCTAGTAACCATGGATCTTTGACCCAGCCTGCCTCCCTGCCCCCATCAGAGTGTATAGGGGAGCTGGGGGCCAGGAGGGTGCGTGGAAGACAATGGGGGACTCCTGGGCAGTCACAGCTGCTCTCTGTAGCTTTGAACTTCTTACTACAACCAGTGCCTGGTGTGTTGGCTCCACATTCCTGGGCCGTGAAGTCATTGAGGGCAGGGAGTGGGGGCCTTGGGGAGAGGAGAACCCACAGACAAAGAATCTCCTGGCTGGATAACCTATTCCTCCTGGGAGAGAGGCAGGGCTGAGACTCACAGAAGCCAAGGGAATCACTCAAGGTCACACAGCCAGTCCCAGGGCTCAAACCCAGGTAGGCTGCCTCCCCAACCAGGGCATTTCTCCCTGCCATATAGAAACCCAGCTCTAGAGGTACTGAACAAAAGACTGCCCTCTGTCCGCTGTGCTTGTACCTGGGGAGAGAGACAAGCTCACACTTTCTCACCTCTGCTTAGGGCCTCCCTGAAGGTGGCCTCTGCATCTCCCCAGTAAGGAGGGAGGTGGCACCATGGGCACTGGGCTGGCCCGGGGTGGGGGATGGGGGGAGGCGCTGTCTCCACTTGAGATCTCTTTGGGGGCAGAGCAGGGTTTGGGTCGGGGAAGAGTGCAGTGGGGAAGGGACTGTGCCTGGACTTAGCTTGGGCCCCTCTCTGCCGGCCTCGCTGCAGCCCCTGAGGCTGATGGAGTCTCCTCCAGGCGCCCATTTGGGTACCGCCCCCCTTCGTTCAGGGGTCTGCTCAAATATCACCTTCTCGACTGTGCCTGTCCTCACCATCCTGCCTAAAATAGCCAACTCCCGTCTGTCTCTCCTCTCGTATCCCACTGTATTTTCCCTCTCAGCACACATGACACATGTTTTGTCCCCCCCTGCCCCCCACTACACATGAGGTTCCCTGGGGCACAGGACTTTATCTATCTTGCTCGCTGCTATATTCTCAGCGTGGAGAACCTTGCCTGGCACGTAATCGGCATGCCATCAACATCTGTGGAATAAATGAGGGAATGAACAAACCAGACTGAGGAGGCAGACTCGCTCCCTGCAGGGTAGAAAGCAGTTTCGGACAGGGATTTATCCAGCTATGAACTTCTTCACCTTGTAGAGGGAGTGAGCTCCCCGGCACAGACTGCACTCCAACTGTTGGAGGAATCATGAGGGGGATTAAAAATCAGATAGTGAGTTGCTCCCTAAGCTATGGGTCTAGGACTCCTGAGCAGTGAAGGGAATGCAGGGCTCTGGAAACCTGGCTGGAGAAACAGCAGGCTGCACGGGACAGGCCCATGGAGGAGCGATGGTCACCAGAACAAGCAATGGCTTTGCCAAACCCAGTTTAGAAATCCCTGTGGCCCCAGTGCTGGGTACTGTGCATCAGGGGAAGGAGGCATGAGGAGGAGAAGAGGTAGAACTCTGCCCTCAGGAGATCCTAGCCAGGTCTGATCCCTGGGATCAGATGGGCAGTGTGGGCTCCTGCGTCGCATCAAACAAAGTTCAGGTTCAGCTCTGAGTCAGCAGATGCTGACATCTCTGTGGGGTGGCAGAGGGGAGGCCAGAGCCCTCTTCCTGGAAGAGGGGTCATTTGGGAAGGAGGGGGAGGAACCAAAGCCAACAGAGCCCTTAGACCCTAATTCTGGAAGGCCTTGTGAGCCTGGCTACAGAATTTGGATGGGGAGCTTTTAGGATTTCAAGCTCTGTCCCTCTGAGCATCCCTCATGCTGTTCCCTCTATCAGGAACACGCTTCCCTCCACTACCCACCCCACCCACCAACTCCACCCTCTGCGCAGCTGACTTTTCCCTGCCCTCAGATCTCCACTGAAAGGTTTCTTTCTTCAAGACACACGCCGCACCACCCCCGCCCCCCATTCTTTCAGACCAAATTCCATTTCCTGTGGTGTACATCAGGGCACTCTGTGCCTTCCCTTTGTAACCCTCAGATCCGAGGTCATTTACCTACTTGGCTGTGTCCCCCTGAACTGTAGACTCTCCCGTCCCAGGACCCCAAACAGTGCTGGCACTAAGTAGGTGTTCAATGAATTTATGTTAAAATAATAAATGGATGAACGTCCTTTTGAAAAGCTTGTTGAATGAATGCCTTAGCTGCGTAGGGCCATGGCCAGGCAGTATTGGAAGGACAGGGACCCTCAAAGTTTCAGGGGGCCTGACTCCCACCCAGGGATAGGGGGCCTGAGAACTGCTCTCTGCCTCGTCTGCATCTTGCCATACCTCCACCCCCGGTTGGGGGCCAGGAGGGGGAGAGGAACCTCCATCTCCTGCCCTCACTCTCACCCCACACTCCGGGAGGAACAGGAGGCAGGCAGGGTTCTTGCCTCCCCGTGGGTCTGGTTCGTGTTTAAAGGACTAATTTCTGCCTTGTGGGGGTGAGTTATCTCCTTGTGAAATCAAGTTGGAGAAACAAAAAGATTTTACCAGTGAGACACATGTTCCTCCAGGAGAAGGAACGGACGGGCTCCCTCCCCTCCTTCTGGCCCTGGCCCAGTCTCCCTGGGTTGCTGGAATGCCTGACTTGTCTGTAAGGCCCTGCAGATGTGTGGGCGATTTGGGGCAGGCGCCGAAGGCAGGTATGTGCGTGCAGTCAGGTGCCGGCCCTCCTGGCCGCACTCCTCCCAGGCTCAGGCCGCCAATGGAGCCGGACCTCCACCTCCGGAAGGGGGTCTTGTGAGGACCACGGTGTGTTCCCATCACTGAGGCCCAAGGGGGCCAGCGAGGGGCAGGCTGAGGCTGGGGGATGGTCTCGAGGGAGCCTGAACAAAGAGGGGGGATTGGGCTGGACCCCTGAGAGCGGAAGGGGCTGGGAGTCCAGCTGGGAGGGGCCGGCAGACTGTGCTGAGCCCACCCGCTGCCCGCTGCCCGCCCACCCTTTCATCTCCGCAGCTCCTTCCTCCCTGGTCCTTCCTTGAGTGTGTGTCTGTGGGTCCATCTGGGTGGGCTTGAGGAGGGGGAAGGAAGGGGGTGCTCTCTGTGGGCAGCTTGGATTGGACAAAACTTCTTTGAAAATGGTGCTTTGAGTCAAAACCTACCGGTGGCCAGTCATAGAGAGAGACAGACGGGTGTTCCAGCAAAAGCCCAAGGACCCTGAGGGGGCACTATCCCCAAGGGATAACTACCTCCTGCAGGACCTCGCGAGACTGGGCGGGAAGGGACAGGAGGGGACAGGAGAAGCCCTTCCCCTTCTCCTGTGCCAGCCGGCCCAGGCCCTCACTCCCAGGAGGGCTTTTCCCAGAGAACTAAAAGCAAGAAAGTAACCTTTAGGATTAAAGAGAAACGTTTCTTTGTTTGAGTTTTCCTTCTCCCCCCACCCCACCCCGCCCCAAGCCTCTTTTCTCATCTGTAGTGGCTTTTTCCCTCTGGTTTGGGAGTCAGAGGAAAAGCACCAGAGAATGTCGACCCAGGTAGCAGGGAACCAGACCTCGTCCGGGGCCACAGACGACGATGACTCCTACGGCAGCTGGTACATCGACGAGCCCCAGGGTGGCCAGGAGCTTGAGCCGGAAGGGTGAGTCGGAACCCCTGGCCCTGTCGGCCAGCGCATGGGGTGTGGCAGAGGTTACTGATGGGGCAGTGTGGGGAAAACCCTGAGCGAGGGCTGCTAAGAGGGGCTCTGCCGCTCATTTGCTGTGTGAACCCTTGGCAAGTCACAGCCTCTCTGGGCTTCAGTCTCCTCGCCTGTTAGGTGAGAACAGCCTTTGTGCTGGTGTTAAGAAACTTGAGGTGGAGGACCTGGGCCAGGCTAGTCACCTAAAAAGCACCTGTGCGGTGTGTTTGTTTTTTTGACTTTATTTTATTTTTGGGGGCTGTGCCACGCGGCTTGTGGGATCTTAGTTCCCTGACCAGGGACTGAACCCCGGCCCTGGCAGGGAGAGCACTGAGTCCTAACCACTGGACCGCCAGGGAATTCCCTGTGGTGTGTTTAAAAAACAGATTCCTGGGCCCCGTCCTTGCAAACTCAGATCCAGCTGGGCTGTGGTGGCTCCCTGGGTGACTCTGGCCTGTAACCAGGGTGGAGAGTCCTGGGTGAGTGGTTGAGGGAATCGGGCCTGCCTTCAAGGTGTTACTGGCCCCTGTGGTGACCACCTGGGGTGTGCTGTTAGTAAGCGTCAGGTTCTCTGGGTAGGCCTGGGGCAGGGGGAGGCCTGAGGAAACATGCCGCCCTGGTTGGCTTTGGCTGGTCTGAGGCTCCGTGAAGCTGAGGAGGCCCTGTTCTCTTCAGCAGGAGTGCTCGGGCAGCCCAGGGGAGGGAGGCGGCCTCAGCCCAGCCCAGTGTGGCCTGAGGACTCGGCCCACAGCCGCCTCTGCCCAGATCCCTTCTATCTTTGTTTAGTCTGGGTACCCTGGTGGAGGAGCTGGGCCTCCTTGTGCCCCCATGCTGCCAAGGACGCCTTGCCTGCGTGGGCCCCAGAGCCCAGTTCTCCCCTTGTTGTCCCTGGCCCCGGCCCCATCCCCTACCTCCCTTCTCTGTCTGAAGGTTTGCGGAACTAGAAAGGTGAGGCTGGGGGTTGCCGAGCCAGATGTGTGCACATCTGTTCTCCATCAACAACCAAAACCGGAGAAGGGAAAAATGCTCGCGTGCCTCCCCAGAGGCCAGGGCTGTGGCCTGGCCAGGCTGGGGTCACCCGGCAGGGATGGAGACCCCACCCAGGCCTGGGGGAAGGAGATGTTTGGAGGACTCGGGGTTCTGACCACCTGGAAAGCAGCCCTGCTGTCAGCAAAAGGGTGCCCTCTTCCCCTTCCCTGGCTGACCTCGAAAGCCCAGGGCTCCCCAGGTTCCTGCTGTGTATGTGTGAGGTGGGAGAAGCAGCAGAATGGAGAGGGGCCTGGGAGCCCCAAGAGGACACAGAATCTGACCTGAGTTAAGGCCCTGATTTGAAGCTGTGTCCTTAGCCACTTCAGGGCCCAGGCATTGGCTGGGGCCAGGTGCCTGCAGCCAGCTCTGTGGCTCAGGTATTTAGATATGGCCTTAGAATAAAGCTGGGTGCATGGCAGGGACTAGGTGATGAGCAGTACCACTCCTAAGGTGGGTGTCATCTAGAATTTGTAGCTCTCTTCTCCCACTGCAGGTAAGAATGAAGAGCTTTGTTTGAATCTACGTACTTGGCCAAACCAAGTCGAACTTCCTGCCAAAGGTGGGAGTGGGAAGCTGGGATCCCAGGGGAATCCCAAGGAGGCAAGCTTGGACTCACTTCTCCCTGTGTGAGTCAGACACCCCGGCGAGGTGGTGCACCAAAGCTTTGAGGAGCTCTGCACAGTGGTCCCCCTTGTGCCTCAGTGCGCCCCAGCAGGCTGGAGTCGAGGTTGTGGGCACTGGTGACAGTGTCTGGGATGGACTCAATCTCCTGGTCACATTTATCCAAGTGCCCCCTTGGCGCCAGGACCTGGTTGGAGAGGTTGGGGGTGGGGGTGAGTCTGATGGCGATGGGATGCACACTGTCTGGGGTCTTCTGTGGACATAGGATTGATGCGTATAAGCCGAGCTGGCTCTTTTCTACCCCCAGAGGCTCCTCTGGTCAGGTTATGGGCCCTACTTGCCATGTGCTCGTGTGTCATCCACTCTTATCATCAATACCGAGCTTCCCAGCCAGAGCCTGGGGATACAAATACATCTGTGGCAGCTGTCCAGGATGTCAGTCACCTCCCCACCACTTCAAAGGGCTGCCTGGAAGGCGGAATTGAGAGGCTTCCTTCATGGCCTGCCCTCCCACCAAGAGAGGTCAACGCCAGGGTGATCTGCAGGTTCTTCTGCTGTGGGAGCAGGGAGAGGGTCAGGCAGCAGGGCTCCAGGCCCCCCGGGGACCACAGGCCCACAGACCCCCGCCCCAGACAGTCAGCCTTTCCCTCTCACCCACACAGATGTGTTCTGCCCTCCCCTCTGGATGGGGCCCTTTGCAACCTCTACCTCAGAGCCAAACTTCTAGAAACAGTTGCCTTGCTTCTTCTCCGTCTCAGTGTCCTCACCATCCTGCAGTCCGGCCTCTGTCCCTGAGTGCCCATCACCACCTCTGAATTGCCCAAGACCAAGCCTCAGCTTCCTTGGGTTCCATTGGACTCTGTCCTCACTCTTCGTCTTGGAATAAGGCCCAGAACCCTACCGTCATCCCAGAAACTCCCCTTCTCTCTGCTCCGCTACATTAAGGCATGTAAAGTCTTCCACCTAAATACCCCTGAGATACTGCCTGACATTCCCGCTCCCCCGTGACTGTTTATGCTGAGCCATTTGAAAATGCCGATACTCAACTGTTTTTGATGGAAAGAAATGGCAGTTTCTTGTGGTTCAACTTAATATCTTCCTCCACGTACGCCTTGCCTCTCACATCCTGATCCCACGCGGCTGCTGAAGTCAGACTACCTCAGTTCGAATTCTGGCTCTGGTGCTTTACTAGCTGTGTGATTTGGGCGAGATACCTAGCCTCTCTGAGCCTTGTTCTCCTTATCTAGGCAAGGGGGATACTGATAGCACCCACCTCTTAGGTAATTAACTGAGTTAATACATAGGAAGTGCCTGGCGCTCACTCGATGCTTAGTCAATACTAGTTACTGTTGTTGTTGTTATTCAAATCTAGCCACAGAAATCTCCTAAAATCTAGAACACTGTCCCGCTCAGACGCCCTCAGTGGCTCCCCAGTGCCTCCCATGCCTGCTATTACCGGCTGTCAGCCAGCCCTCTGCGCTGTAATCAAGCTGAAAACCTTGCCTGGCCCCAGCCTCACTGTCTACTGCCTGTCACTCCACTTTCTCATGCTCTTTCCTCTACGTGGAGCTCCCTTGCCCCTTCTTTGCCTAAAGAGATGCCACCATCTTTCAAACTCAAATCCCACCCCCTCTGAGGCCTTGCCCCAGATTTCTCTCCCTTTTCTGCATCCTTTAGCATCTGCATGTGCCCCCTCAAAGATCGAGCGCCCACCCTCCCTGACGTAGCATTCTCTGTGTCTGCGCCATCCGGCCTGTCCCACAGCACGAAACATGGGTCCACGAGCTGTGAGCCAAACATTTGCTCAGCTAAATTTCTGTCGCTCAGACCTCAAACATTTGAGGGTCCATGAGCCTCCGCCAAACTGAGCTAAGTAAAGGGTAGACGGGGGGCCCCGGGTGGCACAGGAAGGGCCAGAGCTGCCCCCAGACAGGGCCCTGGAGGGGGTCCGTGGAGGTGAGGGTGGCTCCTGGTCTGGGGTGAGTGGGAAACGGTCAGGCTGCTCCAGGGACGGTTTACGGAGCCCCTGCCCTGGCTGGGCCTGGTGGGGGGTGCAGGATTGAGTAGGACTTTGTCAGGTGGTGAGATGCAGGCTGAGAGGGCCTGGAGTGGTGGCTCTGAACTCTTGGGGCTGGTGAGGGGCCCTGCCTCACCCAAACCCCACCCCACATACTCGAGTAAAATGCCTCAGAGTTGCAAGCGCGGAGCGTGAGGCCTGGGCTCAGACAGCAGGAACCTGATCCCCTGCATGGCACAAACTCTACTGCTCTGGGAAGAGGCTGGCTCTGCCCTGGCCAAGAAATCGCACAAAACAGACTCCTTCTGTCCCTCCACCCCAAGGACAAGCCCGCGTGACCGGGTTCTCTCCTGCTTCTCACTCTCTGGGATTCCCAAGCTCGGGGTGTTCCAGCACAGAGTACTCAGGCTCACCCTTGGGATCCCTCTTTTCCACACAGCAGGAAGGAGCCCAGCTGGGTGGGTGAGCCCTGCCTGCGGCAGGGAGGGCGCAGCTGCAGGGCTTCCTCTGATGCCTCACCCACCAGAACTTGGTGGCCTTGCCCACACTGGTTACCTCCTTCTGGCGCTCCCAGGCTCCATCTGGGCAAACCCAGAGGTCTACCTCTCCCCCAGGAACCCAGTCCTATCAGCTCTCCTAGGTTCACGTCCAGCCCTGAGCTCGGGGCTCCTACCTGATACCTTTCTCTGCCACGTGACTCAGCCCTTAATAAAACAGGTGAAGAAGAGACATAAATCCTGGAAGACCAAGGTAGATCGTTCCAGTCAGAGACACAGACCAAACTTGGATTCCAGTGAGTGAAAGACAAATCATAGGACCCATTGCTGATTGCCGGACCCAGGCGGTACACTCAGCCACAGTTCTGAGGAGAGATCTGAGGCCTGGAGCAGTCAGGGAGGCTTCCTGGAGGAGGGAGGAATGAAGTGGGCCTTGATGGATAGAAAGGCCAAGCTGGCCCATTCTGTTTCTCCCATGTCTTCCCCTGGGAGCCCCCTGTCTCCTTCAGCCCTGTAACCTCAGAGCTGGGTGTGGGACCGGCACACTTCAGGGTCATCAGAGGCCCAGAATGGCCCTGAGAAGGTGAACTGTCTAGGAGAGATCAGAGGGTCAAGGGAGGTGGTGGGTGGAGCCCCAGTATAGACAGCCTGGAACCCCAGACTGGGCTGCACACCTGGGGTTTCCCTACCTCGGCCTGACCCAGCCTTCACTCACTCTGCAGGCTGGTGCCCTCCTGCCACCCCAGCGTGCCACCCGGCCTCTACCACGCCTGCCTGGTCGTGCTGTCGGTGAGTCCCAACTAGCTTGCCGCCTACTGCCAGCCTGAACAGGGGGATATGTGTTCTTTGCTGGCGCTGGTGAAGGGAGATTCGGGGCAGCCCACATATGGGAGTGGGTACCGGGAGTTCTCGCAGGGTGGGGACCCAAACCAGCAGACCAACCTTTCAAACTTCTGTCACCTCCTAGCCAGTCCCCAGTTGCTGCAGGAGTGTGCACTGCGGGGTAGGGGGTCCTGGGATCGAGTGCCCTGACTCAGCCCCTCGGGGAAGGCCTGGGCACCCGAGCCCTCCTCTGTGCTCTCCTTTCAGATCCTCGTGTTGCTGCTGCTGGCCATGCTGGTGAAGCGCCGCCAGCTCTGGCCCCACTGTGGGCACGGCAGGCCTGGGCTCCCCAGGTTGGTGCCTTGGCCTGGGCACCCCCGCTCAGGGGGCCCAGCTGGGAGGGTGGTGGCTTGTTGGGTACCTAGGAGCCAGCTCTGGCCTCTGGGACACCCCAAACTCTCTCAGTCTGGGGGCTCTCCCCATCCCCACCCAGATCTCCAGGCTTAGTTGGGACCCCCTGAGGGAAGGGGAGGGACCCACTCAGATGCACCCACTCCTGTTCCAGACCCCAGGGAGACCGAGCCCAAGAGGGCCCAGCTCTAGGACACACCCCCTCAGGCAGTCCATAGTCTCGACAGGCCGTGGTCACTCCACACTGTCTTTTTTTTTTTTAAATATTTTGGCTGCGTTGGGTCTTCGTTGCTGTGCGCGGGTTTTCTCTAGTTGCGGCCAGCCGGGCCTACTCTTCATTGCGGAGCCCGGGCTTCTCGTTGCGGTGGCGTCTCTTGCTGCAGAGCATGGGCTGTAGGCACACGGGCTTCAGTAGTTGTGGCTCGCGGGCTCTAGGGCACAGGCTCAGTAGTTGTGGCGCACGGGCTTAGTTGCTCGGTGGCATGTGGGATCTTCCTGGACCAGGGATCGAACCTGTGTCCCCTGCATTGGCAGGCGGATTCTCAACCACTGCGCCACCAGGGAAGCCCCTCTCCATGCCATCTTGACCCTCATTTCCCTGAGGGTGTTACCTGGACCCTGATGCTTCGAGGCAGATTTATGAGGGATTGCCCTCCAGTCCCTCTGGCTGAAATTTTCTCCCCGTCTCCTTCAGCCCAGCAACCCCAGAGTCTGGGATGGGGATGACCCTGAGGAGACAGGACCGGGCAGCCTTGTGTGGGAGAGACCAAAGGCCTGGGGTGAGGTGGTAGGTGGATCCCCAGTGTAGACAGCCTTGCACCCCAGGCCTGGGCTGCACACTGAGGTGGGGCCTGCCATGCTGGTTTTGTGAGGAACTAGCCTGGGGTTTCTGCCACACTGGCTGGCCCAGGAGAGAGCATGCCCCGCCTGGGGGAGGGCCTGGGAGAAGCAGGATGGAGCCCTCAGGGCATGAAGGCAAACTGGAGCACAGAAGCAGAGCGTCTGAGTGGCTTGCCCTGAGCCCAGAGGGGTGATGCCTGGGACAGCCATGCCCGCTGTCTGCCCTCTGCCCCAGGGCCACTCCCAGGCCAGGGTGGCGGCTGTTGCATAAGGATGTTGTGACTCTCCAGCTCTCTGAAGGTCAGCCAGCCCAGACAGACCAATTAGCGTGGAGGCGGCTGTTTCCTGAAGCTTCCAGAGTGGGCGGAGGGAGCAGTGCTCAGGCTTCTTCCTTCTGTGTCTGCCTGTTGCAGGGGGTGGGGCAGGGGATGTTCCTGAGTCACTTTGCCACAGGGCCCAGATCTGGTTTCATAGGAGGCACTACACAGACATCTGTGGAATGAATGCATGAAGGGACCTCAGTTTCCCCATCTGGAAAGTGGAACTGACTCACCTCCCCGGTTTATGGAACTCGGTGTGTGGTAATGGGCGTGCAGGGCCTGAGCAACTCCCCCCTGTCCTGTCCCCGCCTCTGCACCAGCCCTGTGGACTTCTTGGCTGGGGACAGGCCCCGGACCGTGCCTGCCGCCGTCTTCACGGTCCTCTTCAGCTCCCTGTGCTTGCTGCTCCCCACTGAGGACCCACTGCCTTTCCTGACTCTCGCCTTACCACCCGGCCAAGGTACCCAGCACAGCTGAGGCCCTGGGCTGGATTGATGGGAGGGGGCAGGTGGGAATCCAGAGTACTGGGGCTCCCCATTCCAGTCATGAGCCATAGACCAGAAGACGCTGTCCCATTGCCCTCCCCAATTGTCCCACCACAGTGCCTGAAACCTCTATTGCTCTGTCCTGAGTCAATACTGCCCTCTCTGCTCTTGTGCAAATCCCACCCTCGGGAGGGAGGGAGCACAGGCTGAGTCCCCCAGACAGCCCAGTCCCGTGTGAGCATGAAGAAGGGTGGGGAGGGGTGCGGGGAGGGGTCCTGGAGACTTGAGCTGGGCTCAAGGAGGTGATGGTAAAAAGGACAGCTGCCACCCAGAGGAGCCACTGCCCTGCAACACGACCTCCTTAGATGATCCGATCCTCACAGCAACTCCACAAGATGCAGATATTCACCCCATTTTACAGCGTGCTGAGGGTCAGAGAAGGGAAGAGTAATAAAATAGTAGCCTAATTTATTGAGTACTCACTCAGGCACTGGGCTAAGGCACTGTACACATACCTTCTCATTTTACCTTTGCTAATGTACTATATATTATTTCCATTTTACAGACGGGGAAACTGAGACTCCAAGAGGTAACTTGCCCAAGATCACAGAGCTGATAATAGTCAGAGCCTGGATTTGCGTGCAGGGCTTTTGCCCACGGAATCAGCTGAGGGGCTGGGAAGACGGAGACAGGAGAGAAGCTTGGGTGGGTTGGACCCAGGCCCCACATCTGCCCCTCCATCCTGTGTCTCTCGGCCTGTCTTGCCTTCCAGGGCCGTGGAAGATACTGGCTCTGCTCTATTACCCTGCCCTCTACTATCCCCTGGCTGTCTGTGCCACGGTCAGGCATAGAGCCGCACACCTGCTCGGCAGCGTGCTGTCCTGGGCTCATCTGGGGGTCCAGGTCTGGCAAAGGGCAGAGTGTCCGGTGTCACCCAAGGTAACCGCTGACTTACGACGGCCTGGGGCGGCGGGGCGTGGAGAAGCTGCTTAAACCAGTGTGGCTCCTTTCCTCTCTGTCCTGCTTCCCTGTTGCACAGGATTCCACGCCTATACACACATGCTCATTCCAAGCTCTGCCCCTCTGTGGGAGAGGCTGGGGACCAAGCAGCCGGGCCGGCCCTCAGGAGCTTCCAGGGGGGGGGGGGGAAGGGGGGGGGGAAGGGGCAGAGAAGGAGGGAGAGGAAGCCTGAAATCCCCCCATTATTGATCTCCCAGACTTCCCTTGGCCAGACTGGAGTGGGAGTGAAGAGAGCTGGAGGACGCAAGTGCTGAGCTGGGGGATGGTCTCAGAGGGCTAAAAAGAGAATTCCAGAACCTCAGAACCTGGTTCACTGGAGCTGGCTGGGGTGTGAAGCTTGACCAGTCCAGAGCCCAAAGGGTGGGGGTGTGGCCTACAGAGTCAGACAACCCAGGTTTGAATCCAACTTTATCCCTTCCTTCCTTTGGTCATTCCACAAACATATCTGAGCATATACTCTGCACCAGGGACATTTCCAGACACTGGAATACAGCTGTGAACAAGACAGATGACGTCCCTGACATCCCAAGAGCTGCCATTCCAGAAGGGGACACACAGTCAAACAAACAAATATACGAAATGATGCCAGGTGGTGCTAGGTGTTTTGAGGACACCTTACCACATTTCTGAGACTCAGGTTCCCCCCCACCCTGCCCTGCCCCCATAAATGAAGTTGTAACACGAATCCCTCAGGGTAGAGTTGAAGATTAGGTGGTTTCCGAGAGAGCAGGGACTTCGTTGGTCTTTTTCACCAGCCAGGACCTGGCACATACTAAGCTCTCAATAAAAACATATTGAATTAACAAATAGATGAATACATGTTCAACCCTAGGAGGGCCTCAACCCCGGGAGGCAGAGCATGTACTTCCCAGATGCCCAGGTTGCAAACTGTAATAGAAAAAATCAGGCCTGTGTCAAAGCACCAGGAACGTAGGGACATAGAAGGTGGATGTCCCCCGTTTCAGGCCCTATCCCAGCCCCCTGGGGTGGGTAGGAGAGGATTACAAAACATACTCCCTTTGGCTCCTGTAAGGGACCTGGGAGTCCAGGGGCCTGGGAGAGGGGCAAGCACCTCTGCAGGGCCTGAGAAGGGGAAGTAGAAGTTGGTGCCAAGTGGCCCTGGCTGGGGGGTAGTGAAAGAACCAGAAGCCTTCCCATGCATCCTAGACCACCCTCAGGGACCCCTGTGAGCTGGGAAGGGAAATGAACCCTGGTCTTCGGTTGGGGGAAGGAGGCAGAAGGTAGGTGTGTCTAGGCATTGTTCTGTCCATCCAGATCTACAGGTACTACTCTCTGTTGGCCTCTCTGCCTCTCCTTCTGGGCCTCGGATTCCTGAGCCTTTGGTACCCAGTGCAGCTGGTGAAAAGCTTCAGTCATGGGGCAGCAGCGGGTTCCAAGGTAAAGGGGCAGGGCTGGGGTGGGCTCGTACTCAGCACCCAAGACACCGTGGACTTGCCCATATCTATTGTTCCCCTACACGTGGTCATGCCTGGTGTGGAGCCTAGAACATAACACGTGCTCAGAAAATGTTTGCTGAGTCGCAGAGGGACTGGTGGGTCCTCCCTCCCCAGGCAAAGGCCAGGCCAGGCCCTCGGCTGGCACCCATGGCAAGAGAGAATTCTTACAAGATATGGCAATCTTATTTGAGATTAGGTAGACCTCCTAAGCACCTGCCCTGTGCCAGGCCCTAGGCTGGGTTTGTGAACTTAGCCGAGTGACTTGTGTCGGACCTCCAGGACTCCCAGTGTGCTGGGGGAGATGGATGCAGCAACATATATTTACAGTGCGCTGTGAGAAGTGCAACCAGGGCTCATCCAGCTGACCTGGGAGCATGGGTGGAGGAGGGGCCCAGCGCTCTTCCTGGCGAGAGGGGAGGAAGAGGGAGACTGCTCCACAGAGGCCCTTGAGAAAGGTTAAAGACACAGATGCAAAAGGCTGATTGCTCTGCGGATGTGGAGGGTGAAGGAAAGGCTTGAAGGGTGGCATCTAGGACAGACAGCAGGTGGGTGGTGGCGCTAGTTGCTGACATACACAACGCTGGATGAGAGCAGGTGTGCGGGGGACGATGTGTAGCTGTAGGTGTGTGGCGCTGAGGGGTCTGGCGGGCAGCTGGACTGTGGGCCTGGAGCTCAGGAGAGGGGCTAGGACTGAAGCCAGAGAAGGAGTGAGGTCCCCATGGAGGGATGAAGAGTGAGGGGAGAAGAGGTGGGTGGGCTCAGCATCTCTGGGGCGACCCTGGGTCCCCCACAGGCCCACCTGACTCCGGGTTTCGCTCTCACAGGGTAGCAGTAGGGTCCTCAGTACTTGTCACTACTGCCCTCCAGATGCTCAGAAGAGGGGAGCAGCTCCCCAGGACACACAGCACCTCGTCCAGGCCCTTCCCTTCCCTTCCAGGGATCTTCTCGGCCTCTCCCTCCATTGCATGCCTTTCCTCTTGGGGAGTCTGAGGAGAACTAGAATCCTCTTTGGCCCTTGGTCAAAGAGTTTTAAGCCTCAAAGGACACAGTCAAGCTTTGAGCTGACCCACACCTGCCCTGGATCCCAGGGTTGCCATGGCAACAGGTGACAATGGCCTATATTTTCCTAATCGTCAGGGGCCAGGGGCTCACTGCATCTCACTGTGGGCCTCTGCCACTTGGCAGGGAGTTTAAGGCCTGGAATGTGGCTTAGACAAATCAGGTCACCCTTGTGATCTCCCTGGAGTAGGAGAGGGCTGGGGGGATCTGACCTGAAATGGCCCTATCCTGTGTCCTGGTCAGGGATGTGCTCGTGGGACATAAGTTCCCTTTTTGCTTCAGTCTTAGCTACTAGAGGCCAGAGGGCCAGGAGGAAAGCAGTGATGTGATGTGACTGAGTAAAGCTGGAGAGAGTTGGAGATAGACCTTAGGAAGAACTTCCCTGCATTGAGAGTTCTTAGATAGGAGACTGATTAGTCTTTTATTTACGGAGGAGGGAAGGGCAGCTTTGGGGGGCATGGACCTCGTCCCCACGGGATGGCCCTTCTCTGCACTCCACCACCGCCAAGAGGTTTGTACGCGCACCTACCCTGAGCCAGGGCCCCGGGGATGGCTCGAGACAGGTCCCATCTGCTTGTCCTTTTGCCTGTCGCCACAGGGGCTGCAGAACAGCTACTCTGAAGAATATCTGAGGACCCTCCTTTGCCAGAAGAAGCTGAAAAGCAGGTGAGGTCCTAGGGCCAGGGGACAGGTCTGGGCAGGCAGGCTTGTTTGGGAGGCTGGCACTGGGCAGCATGGTGGGGCAGAGATGAGGAATGAAGCAAACCCTGGGGCCCAGGCTCAGGGCAGGGGCTTCTCCTGAGAGCTCCCTCCTGCCTGGGTCTTTCTGCAGCTCCCACACGTCCAAGCAGGGCTTCCTGTCCCGGGCCTGGATCTACTTCAGACACTATATCTACACTCCACAGCGAGGTATGGCGTGGGGAGCTGAGGTCAAGAGTGACAGGTGACCTCACCCCTCTTTTGCATAGAACAGCTGCAGTAGAAGGTCCGCTCCTTTCCCCGAAACTCTTGTCATCAGGAAGAACAACCCCAACTTGGGACAAGGGGAAGCCCCTGGCCTGGCCTTGGTGGTCCAGGGTCCTGTGAGCTCTGGCCCTTGTCCTAGGCCTCTTGGGAGGGATGGGGCTCCCGGGGCTGGATGGCGCTGGGGTTCACCACACCCCTCCTTTTGGGGACTGCAGGATTCCGACTCCCCCTGAAGCTGGTGCTTTCAGTCACCCTGACAGGGACGGCCATCTACCAGGTATGTCCTGCCTCTGTAGTGCCACTTGCTTCTGGACCCCTGCTCCCAACCCCCAAGGCTGAGATGGCTCAGGCCCTCAGCTCAGCTCTCCAAAAGCCCCGACCCAAATCCTGTCCAGCTGCTTCTGGCCATCTTGGGAATGCTGGCCTACCCAGAGGAGAGGGGATGGTAACTCTTGTTGGGCTCACACAGGGTCAGAGCACAAGTTTTGGAGTCACATAAATGTGGATTTAAATCCTAGCTCCTTTATTTACCTCCTGAGTGACCTTGGGCAAGTTACTCAACATCCCTGAAACAATTAGCTTAGCTGTGAAATGGAGGAAATAGATTAATTCCTTTTAGTTAGGAAGATTTAGTGAGATAATATATGTTTGATAAATCCCCACCACCACTATGCCCCCCTCAGAAAACAAACAAACAAACAAAAAATCAAAAACCCTGGAAGGTAGGTATGATTTTTCTCCATTTTACAGATGGAGGAAATTGAGGCTGAGAGATGAACTTGACTTGGCCAAGTTCCTACAGTTAATATCTCAGGGTAGCCAAAATTTGAATCCAGGTCTGTCCAGCTTCAGTGCCTGTGCTCATTTTTAGGACACTTTGCTTTGTCCAACATGGAAAAATTGGAAATTTTATATTCTGAAGTTTTAGATAGATAGACGATTGATAGGCGGTCAGAGATACACACGTATACTTGTGCTGCTTGAAAGCATATCTGAGGCCTATGGGGCTAAAGTCGTATCTGTTTGTAATGTGCTGATTTTTGGCACGAGGATGCTGCTCTAAGGGACAGATAAGAACACTGTGAAGGGTGATGGGCACGTGGAGGCAGCCCGTGTGCTGCCAGAGTTTCTTCCCTGAAGTCTCAGAGCACACTATTCCTGGGATGGGAGTGTCTGGTGTGAGCACAGCCAGGCCCTGCCACCCTGATTTGGGGGTTCTTCCAGGTGGCCCTGCTGCTACTGGTGGGCGTGGTACCCACCATCCAGAAGGTGAGGGCAGGGATCACCACGGACATCTCCTACCTGCTGGCTGGCTTTGGGATCGTGCTCTCAGAGGACAAGCAGGAGGTGGTGGAGCTGGTGAAGCACTACCTGTGGGCTCTGGAAGGTGAGGCCTCTCGGGAGCCCCTGAGGGCCGGCAGTGGGGACCTCAGCTGGGATACCTGAGCTCTGTCCCAGGTGCTGTGGACATGCGGGGTGTCCTTGGGCACGTCCCTTCCCCTTTCTGCATCTTGGCTGCTTCATCTCCAAATTGGGGTGGTTGGAGCTTCCAGTTCCAAGTCTCTGAGGCCTGAAGGTCACCTCAGCGGGCCCCTGTTAGCTTGTGTGGTGTCTCCCACCCCCACCCCTAGTGACTTTGCCCAGTTCTGCAGGCGTGGAGATGGGAGAGGGTGTGGTATGTGTGAGCTGAGGGGACAGCCCGGGGCCTTTGCTGCGGGTGGGGAAAGGGAAAAGGAGGCAGTGAAGTGGGACAGTGCGCCAGGATTCTGAGCTAATCCTCATGGCAGGTGGGTGGGGTCAGGCAGGGCGGATGCTTTCTCTTCCCCAATCCCTGTCCTCCAGGCACTTGCTTTCTCCTTCCTTCCCTTGACAATGAGCTCCTGGGCCCGGGAACTGTACTAGTCTCCCCTTCTGTGGTCTGATGCCTCCTTATCCCTTAGCCCTGTTTCCACCTACGCCACCTCCACAGCCCTGTGGACGAGACTGAGAAGTATCCTCACTTGACACACGGGGAGGGAATCACCTGAGGTCGTACAGCCAGGCAGACGGGAGCCAAGAGGAGAACACAATCTCCTGATGCCCAGGCTGGGGCTCTCCATCACCTTGAGACACAGCCAGGAAGCCATGGAGCTGAAGGCAGATGCCACATTGGATGGAGTCTCTCACAGGCCTGCACCCTCTGCTGGCTTGGGAGTCCCTGGCAAAGGCACCCTGGCTCTGGAGGAGTAACATGTGATGGTCAGAGTCTAGGCTGCCAGTATGGCAGGTGGAGGTGTGATTGCTCTGCAGCTCTTTCTTACCATTACCATCAGGGAGGGAGTAGGAGTGGGCAGGGGTATATGCAGTGACTGCTTCCTTCCCCAACTACCACTCCCACCACTTTCCTGAGTGCGTCTGCTCCCTGGAACTGTGGCCAAAGCCCACAAGATAGACAGGTGACAAGTTCTGGATGGGCTGAAAATGACATCTCCAGGGAGATTTTCCAAGTTGGCTGCAATCTGGGCCACAGGCAGGAGCAGACATGGCCCACATCAGTCCACATCCAAGCTCACACCTTGCTCACTGCAGCCCTGTTAGGTCAGCATCATTGATCTCATCCCACAGAGCAGGAAATCAAAAGGCAGAGGGAGGAAGTGACATGTCCAGGACAATGGATTTGGTTTCTACTCAACACACCTGACACTTCTAATCACATGTTGCAGTTTCCAAGCCCAAAGGCTCCCACTTTGGATCTCCTTGGATGCAGGGGTCAAACAGATCAGTGTTTAACAAGGCAAACTGAGGCCCAAGAGGGTTAGAGATATGCCCCAAGCACTCAGCAAGCCAGGGATGGAACTGAGATAGGTCTGAGCTTGGGGACCTTTTGGTCTGTTCTTAGCCTAAGAAGCGAATGTCTTCTGAGCTCCGAGAGCCTGTTTTAGGGCTGCACCTGGCACCTGCACCTAGCACCTGGACTATAAGGCTGGCATCATTCACAGAAATCTCACACTCTGAGTCAGGCAGACTAGATTAGAATTCCTGCTCCATCACTAAGCAGCTGTGTGACCCCGGCAAGCCACTTTTCTCCTTTGGACCTCCATCTTCCTACCTGCAAAATGGGTGCTGAAGCTCTAAGGGCAACCTTGTCCTAGAGGCGCTTGACTGAGTAGGGGAGACAGACTGATCCACGGAATCAGTGCCCAGGAGGGGGCAGGTGCAGAGTCCCAGAGGAGGCAAAGTGCAGGAAGATTTTATGGGTACCAGGTTAGGAGGGACCCAAGTTTGGACACATTTGAGGTAGAGAGGAACAAGAGGTAGGCAAATGGAGACCAAAGGCCAGGCTGGGGCCAAGGGGGCTGGCTAACCCTTCACCCCAATTAACCTGTTCACTCACCTGGGCAGCCTCAGCAGGCAGGCTCCTCACCTCCTGGCAGAAACAGTCCAGAATGTACCTTCGCTGGTACCGTGTTGGCTCTAGGAGGGCAGAGCTGCGCGTGTCCAGGGCTTTCTCCTAGCCTTGCCTTTCAGAAAAGTGCCCCCTTCTGCCCCCAGAGGAGTGAGCCAGGGACAGGCAGATCGGCCCCGGGTTTCTGTAGCGGTCATCCTCAATACTGGCTGTGCCTGAGAATCACCTGAACTTGTAAGGAATCCCAAGGCTCGAGCCAGACTTCAGAAACCTTGAGGGTGGGGTCCAGCCTCTGTGATTGGACAAGCCCTCCCCACGCTTCTGATGCCAGCCTGAGTTTGAGAACCACTGTAGCAGGAGCTCTACACATGTCGGTTGGCTGATTGATTTCAATCAGTTGCTGTTTGAAATAGATCATTAGGACTCCGTCTTTGAAAAAAAAACACAACAACCCAGTTCAGTGGTTCTTAACCCTGACCGCACATCGGAATTACTGGGGTTGCTTTCCCAAAAGCTATGGCCTGGGTCCTATGCCCAGAAATTCTGATTTAATTGGTCTGGGGTACAGCCTGGGCCATGGGAATTTGAACAACTCCAAGTGATCCTAATATGCTGTCAGTGCTGAGACCCACATCTCCAGAACCTGTGGCTGCAAGGACCTAGTGCTTGCCTTTCCCGTGTGTGTTTGCTCCCCTCCTGAGTCTCTGATGGGAGCCAGGAACACTTCCCTTGGCTGACCAGTGAGATCAGAGTGCAGACACCCTGGGCTCATTCTGGGTCTGCTTGGAAATGATTGCACCCCCTGCTCTGTCACTTCCTAGCAGTGTGGCTGGCGGGTCAGGCCCTCTCTCTGAGTCTCAGCTTCTTTGTGGGTCCCATGTCTCCCTGTGCCTCTCCTGTGGGGTTACTATGAGGGTGTTGAGTAAGACTAGATGTGGATATAGGGTGGAAGGGTTGTAGCCCTGCATCCCTGCTATGCTAAATGCCAGGCTTGTTCACAACACCATGCATTCTCCCCCAGCTGCTGGTGATACAGGGAACTCATGATCTGTGCAAATGGACAGGGTGGGTGGCGACCCGGGGAGGAGATGGGTAGCAGTGGTCACTTCCCTCATTCTGATGGACTCAGGCCACACTGACGGGCGCTCACATCTTAACAAAGGCCACTGACGCAGGCCCTGATGGGGTTTTATGGCTCACAGCATGCTGGGAGACGGGCAGCCCAGCAGTGTGCCCAGCATGGGCAAGCTGAGGCTGGGAGATGAAATGACCCCCTGAAGCCCACACAGCCAGGAAGCCATGGAGCTGAAGGCAGATGCCACATGGGATGGAGTCTCTCACTGGGGGTCACACAGCAATGGAAGCAGCAAGACCGGGGTGAGGGCCAGGTCTGCAGCCTCAGAGCCGGCCTCCGTCTGTCTTGGCCACCAGATGTCACCCGGCAGTATTGGTCAACCAAGGTCATCGACTTATACTGGATCTGAGAACAGGGGATGTGACAAGATGTGACACCTCAGAGGGGGGTGTGGGGCAGGGATAACTCCCACCCAGGTACCATCCTGGCAGCAGTTCGGGGTCTCCCAGGAGACCCCCCAGGCCCTGACCTCCCACTTTGCTCCCTTTCCACCTTCCAGTTTGCTACATCTCGGCCTTGGTTCTGTCTTGCTTGTTCACCTTCCTCATGCTGACCCGCTCGCTGGTGACACACAGGTGAGTGACAGGCTCTGATTCCCCCCGGTGCAGACGTGGGGAAGGGGTCAGAGCCCTGTGGGCCTGCAGGACCCCTGACCCAGGAGGCCTGTGGGGAGAAGCTAGGGGCTGGAGGGAGGGAGAGTCCCTGCAGGACCAGGCTGTTACTGAGCCCAGCTGCCCAGCTGCCCTGTGGTGGGTGGAGATGGTGGGGCATCCCTGTCCAATTGGAGAAACATCTGCGACTGATGTACGGCTGACGAAGGGCTGGCGTGGGGCTACCTGGGGAAGCTGGCATGCTACCTGGGAATGGAGATGAGGGAGGAAGGGTGCCACAGGCGGGAGGAACTGTGTGGGCAAGAACAAGTGTGAAGTGTGGGTGAGGAGTGGACTGGCTGGCGCTGGGGCACCAGAGAGATTATTGTGGGACATGGAATGCCAAGCCGCCTACCTTGCCCTTTCATGGTGAATGGTAAGGAGCACTGAGGAAACGTGGGCAGAGAGGGAGAGAAGCTTCTAGCTGGGAGTAGAGTGGGTGGGGAGGGGAGGGCCAGGGACTTGGCAGGGAGCTGGTCCCTATGCTGTACATTTATCAGGCCTCAGGGTTCCTGCCCCAGGATCTTTTCTCACAGGGTTGGCTCTACTTAGGCTGGCATATCAAGGCCCTCAAGCTTCTGCCTGCCTGGAACCTTGCCTCCTGCCCTGACGGCCGAGCTGCCAATCACTTTCCATCCCTACTGTTGTGTCCCACGTTCCTGACTTGGCTCGGTTGAGCCTTCTGCCTTAATTTGTCTCCCTTGATCCCTGCCCCGCCCCCCACCAGCTTAGTCTGATTCATCCTTTAAGATGCAACTCAGACATCACCTCCTCTGGGAAGCCCTCCCTGATCTCCCAGGCTGGGTTAGTAGCTCCTCTGGGCTCCCACAGCTCTGGGCTTCCCTGCCTCTGGCCGTGGGTTGTACTTAGACTGGGAGTTCAGCCAGAGGCTGGCCCAGAGCAGGAAATTAGGGAGCGTGTGTGCTCCCTGAGATCGCTGGCTTCCTCACTCCCCGCCCAGGGCCAACCTGCGAGCTCTGCACCGAGGGGGCGCCCTGGACCTGGGCCCCCAGCCCCCGAGCCCTCGCCCCTCCCGCCAGGCCATATTTTGTTGGATGAGCTTCACCGCCTACCAGACTGCTTTTACCTGCCTTGGTGAGCGCCCCCTTGCCCACTCCACCTGACCTCGGCAGGCCCCACGGGCCCGAGTGGGGGAGGGGAGGGTTCCCAGCAGGTCTTGGCTGCCTCTTGGGGTCTGCCTGTGCTGGAGCTGGCTCTGGGGCTAAAAGCAAGAGGAGGGACCCACCTTGCCTTCCCTGCCCTCAGCGAGTCCACACAGGTGGGGTCGGGGGGCCGGTGCAGGGGCCCTTGATAAAAGGATACCCGTCCCATGAGGATGGCTCCTGGGTGCCACCAGGGGTTTACACAGAAGGTGACCCAGGGCTGGAAAGTTCGAGGAGGCATGTTCCTGCTTTTGTAAGGGAGGGCAATATCACGATGGGCTGTCTCAGGAGGTCATCCCTGTCACTGGGAGTATTCAAGCATGGTTATGTGGCCATGGTTGGGGGCCGCAAGGAGGGCCCTGCTCTGAGAGAACTGGACTAGATTAACTTCAAGGACCCCTCCAAGCTCCGAGTTTCTGATTCTCCCCTTGGGCACTGCGGTGAATAAAGTCCTTGCAGATGTGAGGGGGCTGGGGCCACTGTTGCCGAAGCAAGGGCCTGATTTCTCCCTCTGCTGCTGGTTCCTTCAGTTCTCACCTTGCTGGCGGAGGTGGAAAAAGATGATAAAGGGGTGGACGAATCACTAGCACTAAAAGTCGTAATTCCTCGTATAGGTAAACTTTATGCCTCTGAAACCCTTTTGTACATATCCCATGTAAACAATTAGCCGACTGTTTCAACAGGCAACTTTCAGGTACCTACCATGAGCCAGGCTTTGGCCAGTAGGAATGCAAACATTAATTTCAAATACTGTCTTGTCCTCAAGGACTCAGGAGCAACTGGGGGAAAATGACATTTGCAAAGCGCTCTGTGGTTTTCAAAGAGCCGCCACAGATACTGTCTCATTAGATCCTCACAACAGCCCTCCTGGGTAGGGGCTGCTTATCCCCTTTTTACAGAGGAAGAAACCAAGGCTCAGAGAGGTAAAATAACTTGCTCAAGGTGGCACAGCTAAGCAGCAGCAGAGCAGGTATCTGAAACCAGGTCTGCCCAGTTCCAAAGCCTGGGGCTTCTGGGAGTGGCAAGGGTGGGCTGACGCCTTTCCCTGTTCTCCTCCCCATGCTGGCAGGGCTCCTGGTGCAGCAGATCCTCTTCTTCCTGGGGACCTTGGCCCTTACCTTCCTGGTGTTCATGCCCGTGCTCCACGGCAGGAACCTTCTGCTCCTCCGATCCCTGAAATCCTCATGGTGAGTGAGGCAAGGGACCGAGGGCTCTGGGACCGCTTCCCCGAGGACCACTAATAGTGACACCCGCCCCATCCCCTCACCCCCCACAGGCCCTTCTGGCTGACCTTGGCCCTGGCTGTGACCCTGCAGAACATGGCAGCCCACTGGGTCTTCCTAGACACTCACCATGGACGCCCAGAGCTGACCAACCGGTGAGGTTGCTCCTGGGCTTGCGCCTCCCTTAGGCCCTCAGCTGCTTCTTCGGTGTCTTTGTCCTTGTGCCCTTCTCCCTCGTCTGCCATCTTTCCCCTTTCTCTAATGGGGAACCCAGTGAGCAGTAAAAAGAGCTTGCCTTAAAAGGGGTCAGTGACCCAGCTTAGTCCAAAATACCTCTCTGTTTACCTGTCACACAGCCAGAAATACCCCCATGAGCCTTTCCTGTTTTGAAGATCAATACTGCTCTCCCCTTTGCAGGAAGGAGGTTAACAGAAATATTATTTCCATGCTAGGCTGTGGGAGGACCTTGGCCCCAGGAGAGACTTAGAGTCAGTGGACAAGGGACCCAGAAGAGGGAGGTGGGGGCACCAGGGTCATAGAAAGATCCAGGTGGACCTGGACTTAAACCCCACTGACTAGCCAGACAGCCTTAGCAAAGTCTCGCAGACTCTCTGGGCCTCTGTCTCCCAGATGGGTGGGATGAGTGAGCTGGGTTGAGAGAGCAGACCCAGCCCAGAAGATGGGTACACAGAGGTGTAACCAACCAATACACGGCAGTTGTGGTCAGCTAGGTCTGCCACTGACCCTGAGGAAGGGACTCTGTGTGAGGACCTGCCTCAGCTCTCTTCTCCCTGACCCCAGGCGAGCACTCTATGCAACCACCTTCCTTCTCTTCCCCATCAATGTGCTGGTGGGTACCATGATGGCCGCCTGGCGAGTGCTGCTGTCTGCCCTCTACAATGCTGTCCACCTTGGCCAGATGGACCTCAGCCTGCTGCCACCTAGAGCCGCCACTTTCGACCCCGGTAAGGTTACTGGGCAGGAGCTGGGGGCAGGGGATGCTCAGGCTGCCCAAGCAGTGCGGGAGGGTCTGCCCTGACCTGGTCTCTGCAGAGGATGTCTGTAACCCCAGGCTGTGGGTATGTGTAGGGGGCCATGTGCAGTGCACGTGCGACACGCTCAGGTGCCCACGAGCTCGCATGCAGGGTGTGCAGGGCACTCCCTGTGTCTGTGTTAGGTGCCGGCTGGGGCCCCCCCGCACTAGCACGGCCATTCCTCACCCACCCAGGCTACCACACATACTGCAACTTCTTGAAGATGGAGGCCAGCCAGTCACATCCAGCCTCGACGGCCTTCTGCGTCCTGCTCCTGCGAACTCGGAGGCCCCAGCCCCGCACGGCCCCCCGGGATGGCCTCAGACTGGGGGAGGAAGAGGAAGGTGAGCCTTTCCAGTGGGAATGGGGGGAATTGAGCCCACCCGGCTTCTCCCAGGGAGGAGGCAGGCCCGCTCTCCAGCAACGCAAGGGAGACAGGGCTAGGAAAATGCCCACATCCTCTCTGGGCTGCCTGTGGGAGAGAAGAAGTGAGAATTCTCCTGGTCCGTCTCAGGGTAATTTTTCCCATAATACTAACATACACACACTTTCTGTCACGTGTGTGCACACACACTCACTCCTCACGTGGAGAATGAGACAGCTGTCTCAGAGCTAAGGGGCTCCGTCACCCCTACCACCCCAGGCCACCCCCTGCCTCTCCTAAGCAGTACGTCCTCCCCCGCCCTGCTGCCTGGGAAGTGTGTAGTAGGGAGGGGGACCCTTGTCCCAGCCCTGCCTCCAGTCCCCTCCACAGAGCTCATCCTTTCCCTCTTCTGCTGGCCACCCAGAGGATGACACCCTGAGCCTTAACAAACACGCTTCTGCACCACACACTCTCCTGGCTTCCCACCCTGTGAACGGGCACCTGGAGCCCCAGTCTCAGCCTCCCTCACCCTACATACACAAAGGGTTTACAGACTCTGCTCAGGTCTCGGTGCTGGGGGTGGGGCTTGGCTGGGTGTGTGTTGAGTGACTCACGGAAGGTCTCTTTTCAGGGATGCAGCTGCTGCAGACCAAGGACCGGGCGGCCAAGGGAGCGGGGCCCCGGGTAGGCCGAGGCAGGGCCCGCTGGGGTCTGGCATACACGCTGCTGCACAACCCAGCCCTGCAGGCCTTCCGGAAGACAGCCCTATCGGACGCCCGGGCCAACGGTGCCCAGCCCTGAAGGCGGGGAAGGCCACCCCGCCGTGTCCTTGCCTGTGCTGGAGCACTTCCCATCCTCCCCGCCCACTCCCTCCCCAGCTCTCCCAGCATCTGTCACTCCAGCCATGGCAGCCTCTCTGCTTGGCACCAGCTCTGTCAGCAGGTCCCGGGGGTTCAGGGCCAGCCGGGGGTTGCTTTGCTTGGGTGGAAGTCTGTCAGCACTGTGAACCTCAAGCCTTGGGAAGGCTCTGGTCTGCCCCTTTGACCCTGGGAAGCCAGCTAGGGCTCTGGAGAAAGCAATCGGTGGTTTAGGCCCTCGGTCCAGGAGCCTCCCGACGCTGGCTCTGCCGCCAGCCTTCAGGCTTCACGGAAGCCTTCTCCTGATTGGGGCTGGTGATGCAGGCCGGGACAACCTAGGATTCCAGCTGGGCCCACTCAGCCTTGGAACACACCACTGTGACCAGACACAGCGCTTCCTCTCTCCCACAGCTTTCTCCGCTCCTCCTGGGGGTCCCTGTGGCCTGCAAGGCAGCCCAGGAGGAAGCCATGGGCTCCTACCTGGCAGCAGTCACGGCTCAAACCAGGCCCCACACTGAGCTGGCCACACTTGAGAGCCTGATATTTTTGTAGCTGGTATGCCTTTAGATATTATGAAAGAGGTTAGTGTGTTCCCTGGAATAAACTTGTCCCTAAGAAACAGTCTTCCTGAAGGGGAGGGGTACGTGGGGAAAACCACCCGGCATCTCAGTCAATCAACACTGTGTTTATGGGGCTTGGGTGGGGTTGGGGTACTCTGGTCAATGCTGGACTGGGCACTGGATGGGGGGCAGAATGGGAACCGTGGCCACATCCCTTGGGGTGGTGGAGAGATTGGGGGCCTATGGTGCCACCCCTGAGCCGTGTGAGCACTGGCTTTGGAAGTAAGACTGATTCTGGGTCTTCGAGAATGAGCAGGATTTGGGGAGGAGGAGAGATTTCAAGAGATGGGGAGACAATATGAATAAAGGTATGGAGGTAGGAGGAGACTAGTATGCAGAAGGGAGGGCAACCGAGGGGGTCCCTCCCCTTGCTGGGGACTGAGGTGCGGGCATGTATGAGTGAGGTTTTGGGGACCACTGTGGGGCTGGGGCTACCGAGGGTGGGGCAGATGTGGCCACCCCACACACCTGGATCAGTGGGGCCTCCAGAAATAATCTGCACAATTACATCACATTCCTGCACCCAAAAGACAGCCTCAAACTTGCAGGAAGCCAGGCAGGGCCAGGGAGCGTCAACCCACCTTCGAGGATGCCCAGGAAGAGGGCAAAGGGGGCAGGGTCTGATCCCACTGCAGCCCACTGAAAAATGTCTTCCTAGCCCCGTGTTAGTGATTGACGGGGTCTCAGGAATGAGAAGGCAGACTGGGTCTCTGCCCTTAATATGGAAACAGAGTCATAATAAAGTGTAATCAGGCTGGGACACTGGACACTCAGGACTGTGTGAGTCAGAGGAGGGGGCCTAGTCCAATTGGGGGGGGGTGGTGTGGGAAAAGCATCCAGGAAGGCTTTCTGGAGGAGGTGGTACCTCAGCCGACTCTCAAAAGCTGACTTAGCCAAGTGAGGAACAGGAGAAGGGTGTCCAGACTGATGGAAAAGTATAAGTAAACGTACAGAGGATGACACATCGCAGACTGTTAAAGGAACAATTCATTAGCCATTCCAAGAGAGGTGGGGAGGGGTGACTTTGGAGAGCCAGTCAGAGGGGCCACGAACATCTGGCTGGGGAACTTGGGCTTCACCATGAGGGCATGGGGGGCCATGGATGACTTTAAAACAAGCGAGTAGCTAGTTCATTCAGAGCACAAATGTTCCCCAGCTGCCCCCGACTCAGGTCTTAGGCCCACATCCTACTCCAAGAAGCCAAGCCTGCTCAACTGTGAATGGAGCCAGAGATGTCAAGGGGTCCAAGCTGGGTTAGGATTATCAAGCCTTAGATAATCAGAGTCAGTGGGTCAGAGTCAATGAGTTACCATATCCTAGCCCATCCTTTGTTTTCTGAGGAAACTGAAGTCCAGAGATGGGCAGTGACTTACCCAAAGTGGCACAGCACAGGGGACTCGGCACCATCCTGCTGCTTTCCCTCGGACGTGCAGTCATCCTTGACATGTGCTCTGGTGACAGCAGCTCAGCAGGAGCTGCAAGCTGACCAGGGGGGATGGGGAGGTGCTGTATGTGGAAGGAGGAGGAAGCGGGGCTGGCCAGCCTCCAAGGCTCACAACTGCTACCCCACGTTCCTTGGCCTCCCTGCCTCCACTTTGCTGGGCTCAGCAGTTCTGGGGGCTCTAGTCAGAGGCTTCAGAGCCTCTCTCATGGGGTCTTGTCCCTATGCATAGCACCATTTGATCAGGAAAGGGGCAGGGATAAAGGCAGTAGGGAGATGTGTCTCTGACCCAGCACAGGTTCTACGGTCTGCAGGTTCTGACCCCATCCTAAGAGACCCACAGGTTGCTGCCAGGCCCTCCACCCCTCAAGTCAGTTCCTGATCCCCCTGCTCTGTGAGGAAAAGACTTTCCTCCAGGAATACTATTTCCTCTTTCTGGAAATGTGGGAGGAAGTACCATTCATTTCCTCTGGCTTCTCCTTCAAATATGTTCTCTTGTCCTCAGTCTCTCTGGGTCTTTCTCTTTCCTTCTCACCCCATCCTACATCCCCTCTCTCCTCCCTTCTCTCTCTCCTCCATCTTGCCTTGCCCGTCCCCGCTTTCCTCACTGTTCCCTAACATCTCTTCCCAGAGCAGGAATGGGAAGAGAGGCCACAATCCAGGCACTTGATTTCCCCCATGCCCCCTCCAAAACACCTCCTTCAGGCCACTGCTCAGGGACCCCAGGGAAGCCTTTGCAGTGGTTGTCAGGCTCATGCCCCTATTTGTGCCGTGGGCTAGGTGGGGGGTGGAGGAGAACATCTGCAGCTCAACCCAGCCCTGAACCCACCACCGGGCCACCCCTCCCTGCCTCACAGGCCCCAGAACATGTGGACAGGCAGGCTGGCTGTCCTTCCAGTCCTATCCTCCACCAGGGGCCCCCTAGATCCAGACAAAACACCAGGCAGATGCAGGGGAGCACCAGAAATGCTGTTTATTTCTCTGCCGCCCCCAGGCTGCCTGGTCTCTCTGGAGGGGCAGGCTACAGATGCATACCTGGAGAGGAAGACAGGGCAGGTGTCCAGGGTGGAGGGGCACACTGAAGGAGGAAGGGTGAGGAGATGAAGGACATTCTGGACACTCCAGTCCTGTCTGAGACGAGGGCAGAGCCTCCCAAGCCCCCAGGTGGTCAGAGAACGCCAAAGGTCAGCAGGAGCTCAAGCAGGTCAGAGAGCCTCAAAGCCACGCCAGCCACTTCCGCTACATCCTAGTCTCCTGTGTCCTGTCTGCTTCAGCCTACCTCCCTGCCAAGCCCCAAGCCCCAAGCCCCACCCATAGCCTCCGGCAGCTTGTCAGTCCCAGTGCCCAGAATTCCATCGGTGAGTCCCCCCCACAGCTTGGTTAGGGCGCCGCCCTGTCAGCACGCTGCCCCGAGAAGGGAGCATGGACATTGTGGTTAGCAGCAATTAGCACCGTAGACGGTGAGTTACGGGATCAAATTCTGTCCTAGTCACTAGCTTCGAGCAAGTCTAGAAGTTGGGGCAGTGAGTGTTCCAGAAGAGATGAGAAAGGGAGGTAGGAAGATGGGAAGTCCCCGATGCAGGCTTCGAGAGTTGCCGAGCCCAGACCCCTGCAGCACTTGTAAGGGACGGCTGCAGAGTCAGGGGCAGGAGTCAGCGACCAAGGCCTCCTCCAGCCCAGCCTGGGTGGGGGTGGGGCTAGAAGGCAGTGAGGAAGAGGAGGAGGAGGCTCTGGCCCAGCAGGAGCAGCCCTGGGGGCTGCTTCCCAGAGACCCCTCCTCCTGCTGCTGCAGCCTCGGGGCCCCCAGTACGGCTGAGGTAGATGATGACGACGTTGTCCTCAGGACCCGACGGCTGCACCTCATTGTCAACTGTGTAGCAGCCCTTACCCTCGGCCGCTTTGCCGTGGAACCTGCGCCCCAGTGCATCCTCGCCACCCTCGCCGGGTGTGGCCAGTGCCACGTTCACCGAGCTCTCCGCACTGCCCAGCTCGTTGGTGGCCAGGCAGCTATAGGTGCCCTCCTCCAGCTTGCCGAAGTCGGGGATGAGCAGGCTGCCGTTGGCAAAGGCCTGAAAGCGCGGCCGGCTGCTGGCTGCCAGGACACCGGGCAGGGCACGCCCATCGGCACCCACGTTGGGGCTGGCAATCTCCACGGTGCCGCTGGGCGTCTGGATGTGCCAGTGAACCTGGGGGGCTGGCTGCCCGTCCACGTCGCAGTGGAGCGCCAGCACGAAGCCGGGACGCAGCTCGGCGCCGTCCTGGCTGGGCTGGTAAGTGAGCTGCACCGAGGGTGCCGAGCAAGGCAGCGGCAGCAGGCGGTTCAGCCGTGTGCCCTTGAGCACGTGGGGTGAAGTGCAGGTGATGTTATCCTGCTCTGGGATGGACACAGCAGTGGTCAGGGCCCACGTCTTGAACCACACGATGCCACAGGTACAGTCGAAGGGGTTATCGTTGATCTGCAGGTGGGACAGCGCGGTGAGCGGCGTGAAGGTGCCCTCTGCCAGCGTGTGCAAGCGGTTGTGATTGAGCTGCAGTGAGCGCAGGGCGCGAAGGCTGCGGAAGGCGTCGCGGGGGATGAAGGTCAGCTCGTTGCTATCCATCTTGAGCAGCTGGAGGGCGCTGAGGTTGTTCAGATCGCTCCAGGCAAAGTCAGAGATGAGGTTGTGGCTGAGGTCCAGGCTCTTGAGTTGGCCCAGAGGGGCCAGGGCACCAGCGGCCACCCTGCGGATCTCATTGTGCGCCAGCCACAGCGACTGCAGCAGGGGCACCTCCCTGAAGGCGCCCTCTGGTAAGCTCGGCAGCCGGTTGGCCGACAGGCTTAACGTGGTCACGTTGGCCGGGAAGCCGGGTGGCACGGCCTCCAGGTCACGGTAGGCACAGTCGGCGATCTGGAAGCCGTACTTTTCCCCACAGTCGCAGGGCTCGGGACAGGCCTGCACCAGGCCCACAAGGACCACCCAGCACAGCAGACGCAGCTTCTGCATCCTACCTCCTGCAGAGAAGGACATGCCACCAAGGTGACCCCGAGGACACGCAGAAGGCACTCGTCCCTCTCAGCACCCTGACCCAGAGCTCTTCCCCATCAGAAGGACCTGCCAGCATCATCCAGCTAAGACCCAATACCACCTAGCCCACCACCCCCATTCTATAGGAGGGGAAACTGAGGCCCAAAGAATGTCCAGGACTTGCCCGAGGTCATGCAGTCAGGAGCAGGTGAAGACCGGACGGAAGAGGACCCCAGCTCCTTCTCTGAGCAGAGAGCTCTCCCTGCATCGGCCAGCTCCGAGCTGACTTTTTGGCTTGAGATCTGTTTTCCAGCCACCTCCTCCCCCCAGCACTCGGCAGAACCTCCCTCCTGCCCTCCCACATCCTGGCCGCAGTCCCTCCCACTAGAGCCCCCCATAGGTATGCTTTGCCCCGGCCTAGACAAGGCCCCTTGTGCAGTGCACACCACCCCCATCCGCCCCACCCACCGCTCTCCCGTTCCTACTGGCCCGTGACCACAGCAGACACCAGACCCTTTCTACAGAATCACACCCTTGGCCTATTCGGTTCAAACTACGCCAGGCAGCTG